TGTTTTTTTTTTTTCCAAGTCATTATTACACAACACGAATCAGTAGGTTCTTCCTGTTTTACTCTTATGTTCCTTGACCTGAACAATGTTACGGATGACAGTACAGTTCCCAGAAGGTGCTAATTATACATAAACAAACTGGTAACGTCATCTCTCCGAGAACGACTGTAGGGTATTCCAACCGGTTGCAGTTTGAATCCTTACATACCTGATTAAGTAATCACCTTAAATATGATGCACTTGATGCACTTGACTCGGGTAATTTCATGGGAAACTTTGTTCAAAGAAAATTAATTACAAAGAATAAATGGAAGAAATGGAAGTAGGTCATACAATTATTTTCATTACAAATTTGTATGTGAACCTCAGTGATCCCTAAAGGAATGGTTCACCCAAAAATGAAAATTTGCTGAAATTGAATCACCCTCAGACCATCCAAGATGTAGACAAGGTTGTTTCTTCATTCAGAAGTTTGGAGAAATGTAGCATTACATCACTTTGCGTACCAATGGATCCTCTGCAGTGAATGGGTGCCGTCAGAATGAGAGTCCAAACAAGTAATCCACACAACTCCATTCCACCAATAAACATCTTGTGAAGTAAAAAGCAGCATGTTTGTAAGAAACAAATTCATCAAGCCATTTTTTTTTTTTACTTCAAACCATTGGTCCTGGTTACAATACAAGTCCTCTCTAAGCATTATATCGCTTTCTCCATTGGTAAAAAAAATAATCTTATCTGAATCGGGAGAGAAATAGGCACAGATTTAGCAGCGTTTACAAGCGAAAACAGTCCAAAACAGTTCAAATGTTTTGGTAGGTTTGATGTGAGAGGACATAAGAGGTTGGATTTTTTCCACTATAGAAAGTGTTATTATGGATTATGGACTCATATTTTGGCCAGAAGCGATGGTTTAAGGTTAAAAACATCTTGAAAGACGAAAAGAAACTCATGAAAAAATATTGAACATTGAATAAAGAAAAAAAAAAAGTCGTCTACATCTTGGATGATTTGACGGTGAGTACATTTTCAGCAAATTTTCATTTTTTGGTGAACTATTCCTTAAGAACCTTTTGATACAGTACTCAACTGTATGTATTATTTTTACCAGTGTCACAAATAATCTCAAGCCAGCTGCAACAATTTTTATAATGTGACCTTTTGCCTTGTCTTAAACCACGCTAGAATATTGAATCCTAGTGAAGTGCTAGGATCAAGAGGGTCACGGTAAGAGACATGTCAGTTTGGTTTTAGGCCTCTGCCGCCAGCCTGTGTGCTCCCTTTCATTTGTTGCGGTGCTGACGGACATTACGCAGACTGGGGGTGTTGGCCTTGAACTTGCCTTTCCCTCCCGCTCCGCTTTCTCCCCCATTCACTCACAGCTGCGTCTGCTACAGTTTCCTAGGCAACCGTTATGCTGCCTGCCTAGCAACTGGTTTTCCCTCCCCCTCCCTCCTTGCAGATAGAGAGAGGGGTTGATGATGGGTGCTGGGAGAGACAAAGAACCCTATGTGTGTTTATCTAATGTGGATCATGGAATAGGAAGCAGCGTAGGCATCCTCTGTGGAGCTGTATTGTCTAAGCAGCTACACTCGCCGGTCCACTAGTAGATCTGAGATCTAAGGGGAGCAGATGTTAGTAGGTATGAGTGGGGACAATATTTTGAAATCCTGCCACACCTTCATTCATAAAAGCAGAATGCCTAATAAAAATTACACCTCAGTGTTTACAAATCAAGACCAGCTTTATATTGTAGAAGTGCGCATTGTTTATTGGAAAGTTTGTATAGTTAAAGTACAGGATAAAACCACACATTTTATTACGTCATCATAGTCAACAGCCAACCAATAAATATATAAACAAAGTGTGGTAGTGCCCCCACATGGTAATATTTAAAACATGAGACATGTTAAGTGTTTTAAAGCAACAGTTCACCCAAAAATGTAAAATGGATAAAATGTATTCATACTCGGGTGGTCCAAGATGTAGATGATTTTTTTTCTTCATTACAACAGATTTGGATAAATTTAGCATTACATCACTTGCTCACCAGTGGATCCTCTGCAGTGAATGGGTGCCGTCAGAATGAGAGTCTAAACAGCTGATAAAAGCATCACAATAATCCAAGTAATCCACATGACTCTAGTCCATCAATTAACGTCTTGTGAAGCAAAAAGCTGCATGTTAAGATACCTGTTCAGGATTAAGACTTTTTTAACTTGAAACCATAGTGTTTCCTCTAGTGAAAAGTTTGTCTTGTCTGAATCAGGAGAGAAAAGTCAAGCACCGTTTATAAGCAAAATCACTTCTAAGCAAATATGTCTATGGATTTAGATGTGAGAGGACAACATGGGACGGACATTTTCACTGGAGGAAGCATTATTATAGATTGTGGACTGATATTTTGGCCATTAAATTTAAAACACATTAATGGATTTTTTTTTTCTTAAACATGCAGCTTTTCGCTTCACAAGATGTTAATTGATGGACTGGAGTTGTGTGGATTACTTGTGGATTATTGCGATGTTTTTATCAGCTGTTTGGACTCTCATTCTGACGGCACCCATTCACTGCAGAGGATCCATTGGTGAGCAAGTGATGTAATGCAAAATTTCTCCAGATCTGTTCAGATGAAGGAACAAATTCATCTACATCTTGAATGGCCTGAAGGTAAGTACAAAACTTCAGCAAGTTTGAATTTTTCGGTGAATTATTCCTTTAAATGTTGTTAATGATAATAGTATTAATAATAATCATCATTTATAGACTACAAAAACTGGTCATTTGTATTATTAATTTCTGTTTCACACTTTTCAGACTGACTTTTTGATGCCCACCCCCTTTTTAACATGGCTGCTTACACTTAATTAAATTAATAAGTGTATTCCTACACAAACAGATAAACCAAGCACAGATCAGCTCAATCAACCTGCAAACATCTGCCCAAAAGCCATGGTTTTAAAATACAGAGCAGAATTTAGGCAGCTGAGCCTGTAAACCTTTTGTTTCGATCCACTGCTGCTTGCCTGTGTCTTTTTGCATTGCTTGCATGTTTAACATTGAGCATAAATGCATTCGTGAATCAATAACTTTGTCTCCTGCAGCTTTAAATAGCTACAGAAGTGCTGATGTTGACATTGAACATAGCTGCGATAAACTGTCTGGCAGACAGTGAGACTGTGGGAATCTCTAGAGGAAATAAATTCAGACATTTTTGTTTCATTTTGCTCTACTACTCACTCCTTGGTACACGAACAACACCACTCCCTACTGAAACCGAATGTTTCTTTTAGCTTTGTATGTTGAAGTCACACCTTACTATAGGGAATCAATGACGTTCACTCTCACATCTTTAAATAGCCACTTTGGTGCTGACGCTGCCATTGAAGTTGTTGCTGTAATCAGCCACTTGGTCTTCAGCACTGTGGGAGCCAAATATACTGTTACCCTGCAAAGAGCTGCAACTACTGAGTATATGAGGGTGTTTTGATTGCCAGAGTTCAATATCTAAAATGACAAACAAATATTATATATACTACTTTGGCAGTAGTGAGAAAGTAGAAAGTATTTTGATATAACAAATATTTAGATAAAAGCAGAAAATATTAGGCTACAATTTAAAATAACTGTTTTCTATTTTGAATATATTTTAAAATGTTATTTATTCTGTAATGCAAAGTTGAATTTTCAGCATCATTACTCCCATGTTCAGTGTCACATGATCCTTCAGAAATGATTCTAATATGCTGATTTAAAGAAACATTTATCAATTGTAACATCAGTTTTAAACACAGTTGTGCTGCTAAATATGTTTGAGGAAATTATTTTTTTTCAGGATTATTTGATAAATATAATGTTCAAAAGAAAATAATTTATTTGAAATAGAAAATAGTCTTGTAATGTATTTACTGTAACTTTTGATCAATTTTATGTATCTTTGCTGTATAAAAGTATTAATTTCTTTGTAAAAATCTTACTGACCGCCGACTTTTGAACGGTAGTGTAAGTACACATTTAAACAGTATAATTTGAGTGTGTGTTTAAATTAACTTCAGGGCAGTAATAAATGATTTTAAAAAATGCAATGCAGATTGTTCATTTTTGAAATTTTCTAAACCGAAAAGGTTTAGATTGAATTGCCATTTGTGAAGGTTCAATGTTGCCGGTGTTAGCTTAACTTAAACAAAGCACCATACGCTACAACAGTAGACACCGAAGACAGCAGAGCTTTTCACAGTATTTTTAATTTCATCCAGCATGTAGCGAACATTACTAGTAGAGCAGACAGGCATATTAAACATTCACATAAATTAAAAATCACTTAGATTGCCAGCTGTTCCAGTGAACAACCAGCTGGCTTCTTATATTTGTCTGTTCTAATCAGAAAAATGGGTTTCTTTCTTTAGATAGTCCAGAAGACAGGTGGGACAGATGAGTTCAGTTCACTTTGGAGAGCTGATGTTGGGAGAGCAGTTTTTTGAGCTGGGCCACTTCTTCAGTCAAAGCGCTAATCTGGAATCTAATAGCACTGTGAATTTCTGTATGCCTGTGAATTGAAGCGTTATTCTGAAGTGCTGTTGAACAAGCTGATGGCATTGTGTGTGTTTGTGGCCTCCATAAACCCTCTGTAGTATTCTCCACTGGAAGAAGGACCTCAGCATCAACATCTTCAGTTCCACATGGCATCTTGAAAGACCTTTCATACGGTTTGCTTGCCATCCTAATGAATTTGTATCCACTGCTGCGATACTGCTTGGCTGTTCACCAGCTTTGTAAGAGGATTGTCGTATATGTTCACCTACAGCATCATCTGAAAGCTCTGGGCTCCCAATGCTTGACCCTCCAGGCATGAAGAACCCATAGTTTTGCACCCCATCTGGACCACCATGATCCGAGATCGACAACAGATGACCAAAAGTAGGTTGAGAGTTTGTATTGGGTCAGTTGTAGCGTATTGCTGGAAATGTTTGGTTATGTGAACCAAAGGAGCAGGTCTGTGCTGGTGAATCTGTGGGATCTTTGATCAAACCGAATTTGAACTTAAGTGCCAGTAGCTCAGCTTTCAGACGTGCATTGTCTTCAAGAAGAGCCAGAACATTGTTTTCTACCGCCTTGTCGTTGATGCGGCGTTTCTCACGTGAACGCCTGGCAGCTTCGTTGTTCTTTTTGCGCTTGTCCCAATAACCTTTGTCTTTTTTATCAGGAAGCATAGACTCACGTTTGCGACACATTGCGATATGGCTGTCAGTCTCAGAGCTTTCTTGGTGTTTCAGAACTCTGGGATGGATAAGAAAGGAGCGGGCTAGCATGCTGCTGGACATTAATATGGAAACAGCTTCTTCTGTGAAGGATATAGCTCCATCCTGACTGACTGGATCAAGTATTTCTTTAGGGTACATCACTCTCTGTTCTGCCAGCATGACGCTTTGGTCCTTCATGCTTTGAGTCTGGGGCTTAATGTATGTGAGAAACAGTGTTGCCAACTTCTTTCAATGGAAAGTAGCTAAACCCTGCCGGCAGTGTTGCCAACTTCTTTCAGTGGAAAGTAGCTAAACCCCCCCTGAAAAGTCGCTAAATGTCGCTAGATGACGTCATACACTAATTAGCATATTCATGACGTCAGTGCGTTGTATTGTCTTGCCTCCCTGTGCTCACGTACTGCATTTTAATGCAGCCAAATTCTCAATAAAACTGTTTTTATTAATATATTTCACTGTTTCTGTTGTCAGACAACGGAATTAATATTATAGTGACTGAAATGCGGTCCATTAAAGGGGTCATATGACGTTGCTAAAAAAGAACATTATTTTGTGTATTTGGTGTAATGAAATGTGTTTATGCGGTTTAAGGTTAAAAAAAACCACATTATTTTCCACATACTGTACATTATTGTTTATCCTCTATGCCCCGCCTTCTGAAACGCATCTATTTTTACAAAGCTCATCGGTCTGAAAAGCGAGGTGTGCTCTGATTGGCCAGCTATCCAGTGCGTTGTGATTG